TTATATCTTTAATTTATTTCTAATAAATTTTCAAAAAATGAATCTAGTTTTAATAATAATAAATAAAACTTTTATTATAATTTTTATTATATTATATTTGAAAGGCAATATTTTTTGCATAAAATAATTATTGATCTATTAACTAATAAAAAATACATAAAAAAGAAAATTTAATAAATTTATAAAAAGTATAAAACATTAATTTACAGAAAATAATTATTTCAACTAACTTTATTTCTTCTTCAATAAAATTTATAGTCCTACGATTTAATTCAACTAAAAGGCTAATAAAAAAAGATTCATATTAAAAGATATAAAATCACTATAAATAAAAAATACAATTAAAATTTTTAAAAATCTATACTTTTCTTATTTTTTTGTTCTTATAGAAAAGTATATTTATTTTGTCATTATATATACATCATATTATATGTATAATAGAAAAATATGTAGAGACTATAAATTATTTTCTATAGATTCTACAAATTTTAAAATCCCCAAAGTCTAGTTTAATATCGAGGGATAATTGGAGTACGTTGATGTTACCGACGTGTGTTTTCTCTTATTTTCCGCAAACGGCGTTGCAGTATATTGTACATTTAGTTGGCAATCTATCTAATTCTTATTGTCCGCGTCGTTTCTCGTTGGCAATATCGGAGTCGGAAAGTGGGTGTTGCTTTCGTCACTCGCCCGTTAACTCGCGGTTGCTTGTACTCGGGGTGTCGCGCCATATCGTGGAGGGCGGTTACGGAGCATCGTGGACAGAACTCTCGCTGAACCATCCTCGAGGAGTCATGTGTAAGTGAAATTTCAGATCTTCCTCGACGCCGGCGTCTCGCGGCGTTTCTTCATCGAGCGCGATGGCTTGAGCGCAAAGAGCCACATCCGATCGATAATATTAACCGTTCCCAAGACGTACCGGACGGACGGACAACTCTAAATGTCATTTAAGAAAGGGCACATTTATCTGTCATTACTCGCGTATTTCGCGGAATACGAGTTGACGAATATAGCAAAGCGCATATCTTTTCCTTGTCTCTAATTAATGACTTCTCGTTGATCGATATGCGATACTACTTTTATGTGGTTTTTCATGCATTTTTTTCAGCAAAGGAATATCAGATTATTATATTTTTATTATACGCCAATATTGTGTGATTCTAGTATCGAATATATATTTTGGATATACTTCACGAATTTTGGAGTATTCTTAGAAATTTGGAAACATTATCTCAGAATATCGTAGATTTTTTGACTGATTGATTTTTGGAAATTAAATTCAATTATAGAAAAAATTTAATTACCTAATTATTTGTGAGAGTAGGAATTTATTATTTTAAAATTATTAAGAGTATATTTTTTATTGCTGATAATATTTTGTTTTTCCTTGCAGATTGATTTTGGCTCCATAGGCTAACACTAGCCTTTGTCAAAATGATTGGAGGTTTATTTGTTTACAATCATAAGGGGGAGGTATTGATCTCCCGAGTGTATCGGGATGATATTGGCCGGAATGCAGTGGACGCATTTCGCGTCAATGTCATCCATGCACGACAGCAAGTACGCTCGCCAGTAACCAACATTGCCAGAACATCCTTTTTCCATATAAAGCGTGCTAATATTTGGTTAGCTGCTGTCACTAAACAAAATGTTAACGCAGCTATGGTATTTGAATTACTACTGAAGATCATAGATGTTATGCAATCATATTTTGGCAAGATATCAGAAGAGAACATCAAAAACAATTTTGTGCTTATTTACGAGCTGCTTGATGGTTAGTATAAAATTTAATCGATACGTCAATAATTATATGTGACTTGTGTCTCAGCTTTCATTATCTGCTTGCAGAGATACTCGACTTTGGATATCCACAGAATTGTGATACAGGAGTGTTGAAAACGTTTATCACTCAACAGGGAGTTAAGTCAGCTACCAAGGAGGAACAGGCTCAAATAACATCGCAAGTCACTGGTCAGATTGGATGGAGACGAGAGGGTATTAAATACAGGCGCAATGAACTTTTCCTGGATGTGCTTGAATATGTGAATTTACTGATGAGTCCTCAGGGCCAGGTTCTTAGCGCACATGTTGCTGGAAAGGTAAATTATTCATATCGAAAAATTTAATTATTTTTGTAAGACTGTTGCAGATCTCTAATCAAAAATCTTTTGCTCAGGTTGTAATGAAGTCCTACTTGTCTGGTATGCCGGAATGCAAGTTTGGGATTAACGACAAGATCGTTATGGAATCTAAAGGCATGAAAGGAGGTGGTGGACTCGGTGGCGGTAGTGATGATCCTACAGGCGCTAGATCCGGCAAACCGGTTGTCGTTATTGATGACTGCCAATTTCATCAATGCGTTAAGCTTAGCAAATTTGAGACCGAACATTCCATTAGTTTTATACCGCCGGATGGTGAATTCGAATTGATGAGGTGAGACGCAATCAAGAAGGTATACGAATCAAATATTTTCGTGGTATAACAGTATCATATTTTGTCATTTTTATTATTACAGATATCGTACCACGAAAGATATATCGTTGCCCTTTCGTGTAATACCGTTAGTGCGCGAGGTAGGCCGAACGAAGATGGAAGTTAAGGCAGTTCTGAAATCAAACTTCAAACCATCATTGCTAGGGCAGAAAATAGAGGTACGCGTGCCGACACCATTAAACACTGCCGGTGTGCAGTTGATATGTCTGAAAGGTAAGGCAAAGTATAAGGCATCGGAAAACGCGATCGTATGGAAAATCAAGCGTATGGCTGGCATGAAGGAGACGCAACTGTCCGCTGAGATCGATTTGCTAGAAACGGACACGAAGAAGAAATGGACAAGACCGCCGATATCGATGAACTTTGAGGTTCCGTTCGCGCCATCCGGCTTTAAAGTGCGCTATTTAAAAGTATTCGAGTCCAAATTGAATTATTCCGATCACGATGTGATCAAATGGGTCCGCTACATAGGACGCAGCGGCTTATACGAGACACGGTGTTAATAGCTCCGAGTAATGTCAAGGCATAAATAATTGTAAAGAAGTAAATCTCAATGCCGAAATCGCGACTGTGAGTATCGATATTGGATATTTCTCGATATTATTTCATTGTAGCGCATATTTGAAGCGAAATAATCTGAAAATGTTCGGATGGCTAATCCCGAATTGTACACGATACGTAGCAAAATTACGAACAACACATCGGGAAAGAAATTCCGTTATGTTAGCATACGATTTAAAATGGTAAGAAATTTTTTTTTTGTATATTATGTGTATTAGTAAGAAGTTTGATTAAATTGTCTTTATTTGACTATATTAATATAATTTTTCAGAAGAAAATATATTTTCAATTGTAAATTAAAAATAGATTCTCTTGGAAATATTAAATAGTTAATGATAATACCAAATAGATTATGTTATTTGTGCCAATTTTTCATATCATTGATTTTTTCGCATTAATTGATTTTACAACTTTGTACTGCGCCATGTAAAGCGGATTTTATGAATCATAACAAGATTTTTTGATGCACAAAATTTGCGGAAAGTAATAATTAAATATGATCATGAACTTATACATTTTCTTAAACGTTCTACTATAAACTTTTATCTGTTTTTGCTTTGTTTTTACTCCAAAGCAATAATAAGAGTGGTAAATATGTTATATTATTCTTAGATAGATAATAAAAAAATTTTGATCTGGAATTAGTACAACCACTACGATGATCTATGTTCTTGAAATAAATATATTTGTAGGGTATAATGTTATTATATATAATGAATGTTTTTTTATACATATATATATATATAGAATTACGGCCTCAATGGGGTACCAGAGATTGAGCGACTTTAAACAAATCTGTATGCCGAAGATCACTTATATAAGATTGCGATGCGCTCAATGAAATATACGATACTGATAATCTGTTATCTGTGCATGAAAATAGAAAGAAGCATTAATCGATTGTACCAACGTAATTGACTTTGTCTCTCTAAAAGAACGCTCACATGCGTAAATAAATGTGTAAAATAAATTACTGCCCATGCGTGTGAATTTAATTATACTTTCCTTAAAATTATAATCCAATATATCGTACACAATAAAATTAACTCGAGAAGAGATTTGCAAAAGCAATAAAGTGTTATAATTTAATTTACATGCGTGAAATTATTATTAATTTTTGCTTTTATTAATCAGAAACTTATAGAATTAGATAAGCTGTGCTCACACTTGAATGGTATAAAAACAAATGTCACATGCAATTAGAGATTAAAGCATAATATAATCAGAGCGTTTAATATAAAACACTCTTCTTCAATCAATACGATAAGTACACGATGATTCTTCAGATTCGAAAAATAATTCCAAAATATAATATTAAAAATACGAAAAACAATTTCCAAGATATAATATTAAAGATATGAAATGATTTAAGTCTTGAAAAAATATAAAAAAAGTGATAAAGATATCCATGGAAAACGAAAGTTACGTTGATGTACATACGCGCGTTTTGAAATTGAGCGGGTATCGATATGCGCTTACATCGAAACATCGATATGCGCGACCTCTCGCTTGAACGACACGCGAGAACATTTCAAACTTCGACGGGAGCGCTGAAGGACGCACAAGGGAGCTGGAAAAGTGAGTGTTACAATTGATAATATATCGAGGTGTTCAATAAATCAACGATGTGCATCCAGTGAAATAATTGATCCACTCTTTCACGGTATGCTTTCTACATATTTGTTTACTTGTTAATGTCGCATGAATATAATCTTCAATCTGATTTATATCACGATATTGATTCAATATAACAGCGCGATATTTTTCGATGATACGATAGATTCTTAGATATCTCGCAATGATATTTCTCTCACGGTACTTGTTAGTTTATATTGTGGCAAGAAAATCTACGTAACTTTTCGCAATCACGTGAAGATTGTCACGTTTATCGTCGAGAAAATTTTTCAGTATCCGTCGATTTCGCGCTTACGTCACGGACGGTAATATCGCCCTCTCTTAGTTCCTAGGTTCGCGCGAGAACTTGCGGCGGGAAACGCTTTGAATTTTCTCCCGCGAGTTTTCTCGTCTACGTGCGGGCGCGTTCACGACGACACACAGCGCGATGACTTTTCCGTCCCGGCGCGGCGCATGCGGTCCACGCTCGCGCCTGGC